AAATAAATAAAATCTTTAAAAAAAAAGTTTAAAAGTTGAAAGTCACCTTTAAAAGTAAAATGATACACATTTCTACCAGATGTCTTTCCCCCAAATCATCTGGGTTTTGCAGACGATTTATCACTATGCTTTCTGCCAGGACTCTTGCAGTGAAATCTATTTATTCAAAGAGTTCAGGCTTTGCGATCTTTTAAATCTGAATAGAGCAGAAACCAATTTATTTAATTTTAAAAACAGTTCCCTGCTCCAGGACTAGACATTTGCCACTTGAATCTCTGGGTAAATGTCACCCAGGAATGTGATAACGTGGGTCCTCCCAGAATCTGATTCCCCGCGGTAAACAAACCTCTTCACATTCTTTGGAAACCAAACCATACCCTTCAGGGACAGTCCCCTGATCTCTGCTCCACGCCAAGCGTTTTGCACGCGTTTCCAGCCGACTTGGGGGAGCCCGCGTCTGTTCTCACACACAGCGCAGCCTGGCACTTACTTAAGTGGCCCCTCAAAAACTGTTATGGTCACGTATACCTTTGTTAGTCTTCATCTCAGTCGGAATAATTTATTTGCCTTTCAGCAGCACATATGGCCTAAGACAAATACAGTAGCTCTTTCCTCTTTCCAGTCAAGTCCGAAAGTCTCAACCTGGCATTGTTATTATTGTGCTCTTCGAAGCATTTCCACATCGAGAACGCTGTACGAGGTCCCGATGGAAAGTCACTGCCGGCCAACACGGATGAACGCTGCCTGTTAAGTAAGAGGCAGTGCTTCCTTTAGGCCTGGGTTTAAAGACTCACTTCACTTGCTGTTCATCTTCATTTTGGGTGACTGCCCAGCAAGGCTCGTTTCTCTCGCCCAGATGTTTCTCTCGTTTCACCGCTGCATCTGATTCTCATCCTTCCATCACTTTCTAAGCCATATGTGCATGTGTACAGAAGCACGTGTGTGTGTGCTGTATCCACATCATTAAACTGAGGACACATTTTCTCGTGTTTTCTTTCTGTATCTCTTTCTGCCCTTTCTCTCTTATCCCACCACAGATGAACACAACACGATTGATGATACAGCAGAATATCAATTTTTAAAAGTTTAAAAAGTCATCTCTAAAAATAAAAATAGAAATAAAAAAGTTGTCTCTAGGGGCGCCGGGGTGGCTCAGTCAGCTGAGCATCCAACTTTGTGATTTTAGCTCAGGTCATCTGATCTCATGGGTCGTGAGATCGAGCCCTGTGTCGGGCTCCATGCTCAGCACAGAGTCTGCTTGTCCCTCTCCCTTTCCTTTGTCCCAACTCACAGCTAGTCTGCTGTATTAATTGGTAGAAAGTTAAAGTGAGGGTCTCTGGAGAGGCGTTGAGTAGTCTTAAATCTACGGTTGCCTTCCTGAGACCAAGGGGCAAGTCATTTGCAGAGGCCAATTCAGAGTTTCTATTTCCATTTTAAGGTATAGCCTCCACCTTCACTGTTAAAAGCGCAAAGTTTTCAAGAGTTGGCCCGCCCCAGGGGTCACAAATCTGTAGATGGTCTGAATGCGGTCTGCAGCGGTTTGGTTCTGAAATAGTAGTTTGGAAGCTGGAAGCTTTTCACATTAGTAACATAGATATCCAGCCATTCTTCAAAATCCCTGACAACACTAAGCCCTTATTTCCCACATGGGGACAATTGGCTAGGACGGAGTAGCTGCTGACCACTGTGGACGAGTCTATTGTTCTTCAGTTCCCTCAAATCCCATTGTATCCCCAACCTGAACTACCACACCTCTTATGGTTACCTGCCCCTGGGACATTTGAATTTGAAATAGAGGGCAGAGGATGTTTAACCTCTGCCAAAAGAGTATAGGTCTAATATCGTCACAACTCAAGATCTGCCCCTGATTTCCTTATAAAGTAAGAGTCTTATCAGCTTACCATGGTCAATTGCAAACACTCCCTCATATTCGGGTCTCCATGATTGAAAAGAGTGTTCCTTAAATGACTCTTGCTGGGGTAGAGAGATCCTCCTTACAAGATCAGCTTCTTTCTCTTTCTGTTGTCCCCAAGGGAAGCTCCCCACTCCCTCTCTCCCAGGAAGCTTCCAGAAGCCATGGCCATTGGTAGGAATAGCCGCTTCCTCAAGGGTTTCTTGCAGCATCTTTTCACAGGACGTGGGCACGGCCAGGTCTCCGCCACGGGGCTTATAGGCAAGGCCCAGGGGAGCTAAATGAGTTAGGATACAGGTCCTGCTGCTTTAGCAAAAGCCCAAAAGAATAGCAGGGCCAATATGTTCTCACTTCCTCCAGAAGGAGAAAGGCCAGAGAAGTAGGGCAGCTGTGCTCCACGAGGTCATAGGAGGGCCCATGCTTCTTACAGCTTATGAAGACACATGTTTTCCTCATCCACATGGTGCAAGATAGCTCCTCACTGCATCCATATTCTAGCCAATGACAAGAGGGAACAAGGGGTAGTAGAGGGCCTTAAACCCTGGTACACAAGGCCCCCAAGCCTGGGGGTCATTTTTTACTCTTCTCTTTCACATCTGGTCCACTAAGAAACCTATTGATTCTGTCTTCAAAACACAAATTAGAAATCAGTCTGTCCTTTTTCTTTTTTTTAAGATTTATTTATTTATTTGAGAGAAAGAGGTAGAGAGAGAGCATGCACGTGAGTGGAGGGAGGGGCCGAGGGAAAGACTCCCCACTGGGTGCAGAGCCCGACCAAGGGCTCAATCCCACAGCCCTGAGATCATGACCTGAGCCGGAATCAAGAGTCAGATGCTCAACCAGCTGAGCCACCCAGGCGCCCCAAATTCGGTCCTTTCTCATCACTTCTGCTACCCCCTTGATCCAAACCACCCTCCTCTCTGGCCGGGATTATTCCAATAATCTTCGAATTGGTCTTGCTACTTGTACACTTGCTTGCCCACCACGACGGCCACCGCTACCCACAGAGGTCTGTTCTCAGCACAGCAGAAGGAGGATTGCACCATAATAGAAACAGATTACTTTTCTGCTCGGCTCAGATCCTTCAGGGGCATCCCCCGTTGCCCTTAGAGTAAAAACCAGAGTCCTCCAATGGCCTGCAAGTGTCTACATATCTGACTTCCCACACATCCTTGTTGCTTCTTTTCTTCTACTCTTCTCTTGTTCACCTTGCTCACCCTGTTCTAGACATACTGGTATCCTTCCCATTTCCGGAAGACACTGGCTGTTCCTCTGCCTGGAACACTCTTGCCTGCAATATCCACACGACTAACTCCCTTACCTCCCTCCGACTTTGTGGTTGCTGGCTTCCCAATGAGTCCTTCTCTGACCACCTTACTGAAAATTAGAGCCCTCTCTCCTTTTCCCTTTATTCCATTCTCCCCCCTCCCCAGTTTTCCTGCAGCACTTACCAGCTTTTAACACACTTTAACACACTATGTAATTTGCTTTTCTATTATGTTTATTTTTTTACTCTCTCCGGCTAGAATCTAAAATCTAAAAGGGAAGAAATAATTGTCTCATTTAGTGAAGAAGCACAATTAACTGGAATAGTGCCTGAGAAATGTAGGCACTTACTGAATATGTGCTAAATGAATGAGTGATTACGATTCGGAAATGGTGGCTGCCAGCTCTGGGCTAATGCTGTGGGTTGAATTGTGCCCCTCCAAAAAGGTCTGTTGAAGTCTTCACCCTCAGCATTTCACAATGTGATCTTATTTGGAATTAGGGTTTTTACAGAGGTCATCAAGTTAAAACGAGGTCATTAGGGTGGGTTGTAATCCAGTATGACTCCTGTCCTTATGGAAGGGCGAAATTTGGACACAGAGACAGACACGCAGGGAGAGCACCATGAGGTGATGAAGGCAGATATTAGGGTGACACATGTACAAGCCAAGAAAGGCCAAAGCTTGCCAGCAAATCACCAGAAACTAGGGAAGATGCAGGGGACAGATTCTCCCTCACAGACATCTCTCACGAGGAAACCACCCCACCTACACCTGACATCAGACTTCTAGCCTCCAGACTGTGAGACAGTAAATTTCTGTTATTTAAAAATTTTAAGTTTAGAGCACTTTGTCACATCAGCCCTATGAAACTCATATAGTTAGTCACGAGATATGTGCGTAGGCATGAGATTTGGAAACTTAATTAGATCCGGAGGTGCCTATAAACTGTAAAGCAACATATAAACAAGCTGTAATAATTAAACAAGAATATGTCCTTAAGGGTTAACTGTGCTTGTCCAAGGACTCAGGGGGACAGTTGCTGAATTCTGCCTTACTTCTCTGTCTTTTCCCCATCCTACCCACATCCCTCACCATCGCCACCACACAAAAACATCTGCTCTAAATCACAGGGGAATTCCTAGATTATATTTCCTGTGAAGGATTCAGCTGGGCAGCATTCAGCAACTCTCGAAGATCTTTCTCCAAGCTTGAACTAACTGGACCTTGTGTCTAATCAACTCATCTGCTTTCTGGAAGATTGGGGACCTCTCTGATACAGGGTTTTCCGTTTGAAGGGATTCAGAAATGGACGAGCTAGATCACTCATCCTCAAGGTACCTTCCCCCCAACCAAGAGAACTGGGAAGAGAGGTGGTTGGTGTCCTTCAGCAGGCCCTGTGATCATTTCAGTAATGGCATTAGAAGGGGCCGTTTCTGACTTTTGGTGAGGATAATGGTTCTAGTGCAATTAGGGGTCTTCCACTGGCTTTCTGTGTTTGGAGAATGAAGGTCCTTCTACTTACTGCTTAGGATTTTGTAAGGTGATTTAAACTGCCACCTGGGGCATTTGGCTTCAGAATTCCTAATAGCCTAAAAGGTCATAGGCACGAGGAGGGAAGGGTGTCCCAGTATACAGGCAGAAAACAGAGACAGGGAGTTAGACACTAGGCTAGAAAAGATTTGACATTGAGGAGGTTCAGCCACCAGAAGCAGTGGGCAGAGTAAGATCCCCAGACCTGCAAGAAAAGGGCAGCAAGAAGGAAGCCAATTCTTGCTCAGTGAAGTAGGATACATGAAGGATAAGACTTGGTGTCAAGAAAAAAGCCAAGATCCTGGGGATAGCATTGTGGGTCAAGGCCAGAGAGATTCTGGCAATGACGGTGACTTAGGGGTGAACTAACAAACTCTCTGGTTACATTTGGTTCTGAACAGGATCTGTAGCCGAGTCAATCATTTATCCAGCCCATGTTAAGCACCTGTGATATGTTAAGATGTGTACTAGGCACCATGAGGGTCAGAGATGACAGGCATTGTTCTCAAGGAGTTAAGAGTTTGGTAGGGCAGAAATTGAAGATAAACCAATGACAATTTATTAGTGTATTAAGTACAATAAGAGTACAGTGTCATACAAAATCATGGTAACTAAGGGCTCAGGCTCTGGGTCCAATAGATCTGAGTCTAGATCCTGATTCTCCAGTTATAGGTTGTGTGATCCTGAGCAAGTCACTAAGCTTCCTAAACTTCAGTATCTCTTCTTGTAAATGGGAATAATAGTACTACTTAACTACTTTATAAGATTCTCGTGAGGATCAAATTAGACCATACATGCCTGGCACCTGGACAATTCCCAATAACATTGACCTTTTTTTTTATAATAATAGTGATTATTATTGTAATTATCTGGGAAAGGTAATGTCAGGAAATGTTTCCAGGAAAAGGTGGCACTTAAGCTGAATATTGAAAAAGAGAAGGTGGCTGGGCCTGGGATTGGGAGGGGGCTAATGAATGGCTTTTATTTTTTAATTATGTCCTGCCAGGCTCCTCAAAGAATTTGAGGTAGGATGATGAATTCGGTGTTAGTAGAATTTAATGTGAGATGTCTCTGAGCAACACTACATGCTTTGACCTCTTCATTCTAACCCTACTATAATCCCGTATTTTTTTTTCTTTTAAAGATTTTATTTATTTATTTATTTGAGAGAGAGAGTGAGAGAGAGCATGAGCAGGGGGAGGGGCAGAGGGAGACGGAGAAGCAGACTCCCTGCTGAGCAGGGAGCCCCACGCGGGGGTCAATCCCAGCACCCTGGGATCATGACCTGAGCTGAAGGCAGACACTTAACCGACTGAGCCACCCAGGCACCCCTATAATCCCATATCTTATATGTTTGCTCCATTAATTACTGTAGCTCCATGAAATGAATACAACTATTAATTTTCTTTCTTCTTGATTTTGAATACTAACAAACAGAAATAACACAAAATAAAATTGATGTAGTTAAAATTGTACCCAGTAAACTTTGTTTTGATTGTAAAAATGACTTTTACCTCTTCTTAACCCAGAAAAACTGGTCTTGATAGGAAGGAAAAAAAAAGATCACAAAAGAAAACTTAACTTTGGGTGAAATTATAATAGATAAATTTTGGTATGGGCAAAAATAAACAAAATAAAACTGAACAAATCACATTGTTGTTGTAAATGTAGAAGATAATTAATCCAAATTAATTCAAAACAAAGGAATTTCAATTAAATTAAAATTTCAATAAAATTTAGGGCACTCTATAGGAAATTGGTATAGAAATTAAATGGTCATAGTCAATTTTATTCCAAAAGATACCTTTTGGTTGAAAAGTCTTCCACACTGATATAATTCTTATGAACATGTTTGCATTCATAAACATAGATTCAAAACATCCATGGGTGCAAAATAGTGTGTCAAAATCTCCAGGTCTTGCCTATGACATCTGGATTTGTGGATTGATGAAGCAGTTGGAACTCTCTTTCTAGAGCTTAGAAAGTCAAGGTATAACTAAGGGCTTTGAAGTCATCACCACGTAAGTATTCCTCTGTTTTCTTTTTATCTTCCATAAAATAATAATGCAGAGTCAGAACCTAATAAATGCCTATTGAATGTTAGATTCTCTCTAGTCAGGCCTATAAGCCTTACGGATAGAGGAATTGCCCTGTAGAGTCAATCATTTTAAGTTAGCACTTACTGAATACTTTGCAAAAATGAGCTGTTGCAGCTTTGAGAGTAATCAGAGCAAAACTGAGGTACCCCAAGATTTGGATGTCTAGAATATAATCACAGACCTTACCAAAAATTGTACTATTTCCATCCAGTTCATCAGATGAAACATTTTTATCCTAATGTTCCTTGTTCACCGAACATTTCCTCTTTTAAAAATTGTTTTCTTTCTTTTCAAATTTGCTTTTACAGATATCCTCATTCTCCACTTGACAAGGTCATGGAAGATCTAGAGGAAACATTATTTGAAGAATTTGAGAACTACTCCTATAACCTGGAATATTATTCCTCAGAGTCTGATTTGGAGGAGAAAGTCCAACTGGGAGTTGTTCATTGGCTCTCCCTGGTGTTATACTGTTTAGCATTTATTCTGGGCATTCCAGGAAATGCCACCGTTATTTGGTTCATGGGGTTCAAGTGGAAGAAGACAGTCACCACTCTCTGGTTTCTCAATCTGGCTATTGCAGATTTTATTTTTCTTCTCTTCCTACCTCTGTACATCTCCTATGTGGCCATGAATTTCCACTGGCCCTTTGGCATCTGGTTGTGCAAGGCCAATTCCTTCATTGCCCAGTTGAACATGTTTGCTAGTGTCTTTTTCCTGACGGTGATCAGCCTGGACCGCTATATCCACTTGATCCATCCTGTCGTATCTCATCGGCACCGAACCCTAAGGAACTCCCTGATTGTTATTATATCCATTTGGTTTGTGGCTTCTCTAATGGGTGGTCCTGCCCTCTACTTCCGGGACACTCTGGAGTTCAATAACCACACTATTTGCTATAACAATTTCCATGAACATGATCCTGATCTTACTTTGATGAGGCACCATATTCTGACCTGGGTGAAATTTATTGTCGGGTACCTCTTCCCCTTGCTAGCAATGAGCATTTGCTACTTGTGTCTCATCTTCAAGGTGAAGAAGCGAAGCATCCTGGTCTCCAGTAAGCATTTCTGGACCATCCTGGTTGTGGTCATGGCCTTTTTGATTTGCTGGACTCCTTATCACCTGTTTACCATTTGGGAGCTCACAATCCACCACAGTAGCTATTTCCACCAGGTGCTTCAGGCCGGCATCCCCCTCTCCACTGGCTTGGCTTTCCTCAATAGTTGCTTGAACCCAATCCTTTACGTCCTAATTAGTAAGAAGTTCCAAACTCGCTTTCGGCTCTCAGCTGCTGAGATCCTAAAGCACACACTGTGGGAGGTCAGCTGTTCTGGCACAGTGAGCGAACAGCTCAGGAACTCTGAGACCAAGAACCCATGTCTTCTGGAAACAGCTCAGTGAGTTATCAGTAGAAGGCTTTTGTGGGGGGGCCCTGACAAATGCTTTCAGATTATTTGGTTCCAAGGTATGGTAATAACCATCTCTTTCTGTTAATCAGTTTAGCGGCATTACATTTTTGTGTCGGTATAAAACGTAGGAAAGATCTTCATTTTTTCCCCCTGCAAATTAAATTATCTGTCATTCTTGCTAATTATACCGTCGTGGATTAGTCACCACTGTGGATGCAGTATCAGCTATTATTTTTTAAGTCCTAATGACTTTGAAGTCCTAAATCTTAATATTAAATAGATGATTAATTCATTTCAAAAATGTTAACATATGTGCTGCTTAAGCTCACTTTAATTTTGCACCAGTAACCTATTAGACATATTTTTCAAATGCAACATGTACTTCATTTCTTTATTTCATGAAACCTATATATGTACATTTATAAATTAAAGTAATAGTTGGTTATAGTAGTTTAAAACATTATGAACTATTCATGCTTAGTGAAGTGTCCCAGAATCTAGTTGCTTGAAATGACAATTTATTATTATAATACCTCACAATTCTGAGTCAGAAACTCAAACAAGGCCCAGAAGGGATGTTCATCTCTCCGCTTCACGAGGTCTGGATCATCAGCTGGACTGGGATGACCCAAATGGTAGAATTTTGGAACAGCTTGTCTCCTCTGCCCTACTGTTCCTTCTCTTCTTCTTTTTTTTTTTTTTTCCACACAGCTTGTCCAGTATGGTAGCTCAGGGTAGCCAGACTTCTTATATGGCAGTGTAGGGCTCTAAGAGACCAAAGTGGACATTTCTAGTCCTCTTTAAGCCTATGCCCACCCCTGACACAGTATCACATCCACTGTACTCTCTCGGTCAAACTAGTCCTGGGCCAGCTCAGGTTCAAGGGGAGGCGACATAAACCCCACCTGCCAATGGGGATATGCTCCTATCTTTAATCCCTCGTGAAATCATTATAAATATTAACGTTCTTGGAAAATTCTGGGTATGTGCAAATATGTATAAGATTGCTGTAAACATAAAACACTGACATCTAGATGGTAGATAGGCCAGCCTAATCTCAGAATGATTTCAGAAAAAGAAAGCATGTATGACATTGATATATTTCCACCTTCTATTCCTATAACTCTATAGATACAGACACAGTACAAGACCAATAAAGTATACCTTTAAGTCAGTAACCTCTTCAATTTTAAAAAGCATTTAATTTTCTGGGCGCCTGGGTGGCTCAGTTGGTTAAGCAACTGCCTTCGGCTCAGGTCATGATTCTGGAGTCCCGGGATCGAGTCCCACATCGGGCTCCCTGCTCAGCAGGGGGTCTGCTTCTCCCTCTCCCGCTCCCCTTGCTTGTGTTCCTCCCCTTGCTGTGTCTCTCTCTGTCAAATAAATAAAATTAA